GCCTCCCGGGAAGTGCCCGGTGCCCTCCGGGAAGGCTCGGAGAGCCTCTCGGCTGGCCGGGGGGCCTCCCGAGCCCCTCGGGGGAAGGCCCGCCCCCTCCCTTCTCACTTCTGCCCCTCGCTCGCCGCCGAGGGGGCAGGGTCGCGCACGCGGCCGTTCACGCTCGAGGTGCGGCGGAGGGTCGCCCAGCGCAGCTGCGATGCCTCGCACCTCGGCGCGCGGGCCCTCGTGGGCAGGCGCAGGGTCGACCCTCTCGGCGACCAGCCCGTGCAGTGCGATGCCGCCACCGACGCCTCGCCGCTCGGCATCTCCTTCGACCTGCCCCCGCCCCCATCCTGGTCTGCAGGGGAGGCCAGTCCACAGGAGACCTTCCACAGGGAACCCGACCCTGGGACCCCAGGACGTCCGTCGACTTGTGGTGGTGCGGGAGCGCCACGCCTTCCGTAGCAGGTCCACAGAAACCCAAGCCACCCAGGGCACCCTGGAGGCGAGCAGGGTGTTGATTGGCATGGGCCTCCACTGCAGGGCTCCTTTGGCGCCGCCAGCGTGCCGCCCCTCGGTGAGGGCAGGGGCAGAGCCCGACGGAGGCACGGCACCTGTCTCAGCCAGTGTGGGTCCGGGTAGACCCATGGGGGCAGCACGTCAGCGCTGAGTACTGCTCGCAATCTCTACCGCATGGGCTGATGCAAACCAGGGTGCGGGTGGGTCGGCGGGATGTGTGCAAGGGCATGGCATGTGTCAGCTCATTTGAGACGTCAATTGCACCTCATGGATTGCGCCGCAGAGTTTGCACCGCCGCCACTGCACATCGTCGATTGCACAGCACACATTGCGCAGTACAAGTTGCGTCATATTTCTTGCACCACATAAATGGCTCCACATGGATTGCGCCACAGATGCCGCCCCGCACAGATAGCACCACATCTAATTGCTAGAAACACACACTCACTGTCTGGGGCCCACGCTGGCCAACACTCATTGCTGAAGAATGCGCATGGTTGATTCCCCCCCTCTGGCGCCCCCAGGGGGAGGAGGAGGAGGAGGAGGAGGAGGAGGAGGAGGAGGAGGAGGAGGAGGAGGAGGAGGAGGAGGGGGAGGGGTAGGAGGATAAACTTTTTTCCACCAGTTCTGGGAGTGCCCAGGAAATGATGCCCTGGAGGGGTTGCACGGTGAGCTTGCCAGTCAGGCCAAGGAGGGGGTCCAGGATTTTCCCTGTTTCTGGCTTCGGGGCCTGGTGCCTGTGTTGTGGGTGTACCCGTTCGCGACTCGCCCGATTCAGGGAAGCCCGCGAGTAGGAGGAGAGCTCACCCAGCAGCAAGTTTTTGATCTGGACCAGACCTGCATAGTAGCAACTGACGGGTCTGGAGGTAAGTACCACGAGGACTTCAGGATCCGTCGTTGCGGGTGGGGCCTGGCCATCCTTCGAGGATGGGAAGTAGCAGCGTGGGCGTACGGCCCAGTAGATTATTGGAAGCAGTCCGTCCCCATAGCAGAATTGTCAGCAGCGATCGAGGCACTGGAGAGAACCAGTGGACCAGTGCATTTTGTGATCGATGCTCAGAATGTTGTCGACGGAATCCTCCAGGGGCCCAGTCGGAAGCATTTAAAAAACCAGCGGCTCTGGAAAACTTTTTGGGACCTCGCCCAGGGCCGCCAGGTGTCAGTAGAGAAGATCGCGTCTCACATGACCCCTGAACAGGCAGAGGCAGCCGAGGTTCCCCCAGCGAGTTGGCTTGCGAATGCAGTTGCTGACCAGTGTGCTGAGGAGGGAGCGAGCGCCGCCCAGTTGCCTCAGGGAGATCTTAATGAGATTTTTAGGGTCGATGCGCTCGCGGCGAGCGTGCAGGCCCACCTCCTGATTGTAGCCGATCATGTTGCGCGCCAGGCCCCAGAGATATACGGTGCCAGCGCCAAGACCGACAGGCAGCACGAGGCCAAGCGGCGGGCGGAGGGGAGGCGGGAGTCGTTGTCAGCTGCCGTCGGTTTTTCGTCCCACAGCGTTCATCAAGATGAACGTGGCAGGCTCCGTTGCACCCGCTGCCTCCTTTCTCCCTCCTCGGATCTTCCCCGACCCGTTTGGTTGGCCCAGCAGTGCCGAGGTTTCCCAGTCCAGCTCCACAGGTCCCATCAGGTGATGACCTTCAGAGGCATTTATTGGTGTCGGTCTTGTGGGGGTGCTGGAGCAGTGTCCTTCCAGAAGTTAAGCCAACCGTGCTTGACGAAGCGAGGCTTGTCTACACATGGCAAGAGAATGATTGAGACCCTCGAACGAGGGGAGCTTCCCAAGGATTATAAGCAGTGGCCCCAGCCAGATGAGTTTGGTCCCCCACGTGCTGTAATCTTCCCAGAGCCATAGAGCTCTCACAGCGCCACCTGTTAGAGGATCCTGGCGCGCAGTTAGGCAAGAGGCAAGAGGAGGAGGGGGAGGAGGAGGAGGAGGAGGAGGAGGAGGAGGAGGAGGAGGAGGAGGAGGAGGAGAAGGAGGAGGAGGAGGAGGAGGAGGAGCAGGGAGGAGGTCAGATGCGAGAGAAAGAGCAAATGGCGTGCAATAAGTTTCAGCAGCGAGGCGGACGAGGGCAGACTCGCCAGATGCATGGGTCGCAATCAAAGGGCCAAGCAATGCTAAGACGGGTCATGTTCAAAATAAATTGACCACCATGTGCGTCTGCGCGAAAAAGCTGCTGCGACTCCCCGCGAGGAGGAGGAGGAGGAAGAAGAAGACGAAGAAGATGAGGAAACGAGCGTAGGAAGGCGGCGCGTGTCCCCGCCTAGAGGCAGCCCGAGACGCCCACGGCGGGCGACGGTGGGCAGCTCGGGGGGAGTGGCGGGCGCGAGGAGGAGGAGGAGGAGGAGGAGGAGGAGGAGGAGGAGGAGGAGGAGAGGAGGTGAAGTGCTCCTCCCGGGGCTCGCAGCCTGTTCTCTTATACGAGGGAAGACCTTGAGGCTCCGACCTGTGCCCCTTGATGACAGGGAGGAGGAGGAGGAGGCGGAGGAGGAGAATGAGGAGGAGGAGGAGGAGGAGCAGGAAGAAGAGGCGGCGCTCTGGAGTTAGACACTCGCTCGGGACTTCCTAGTCGCCCCCTCTTGCCAAGCCCTCTCGCGAATCCCTCTTGTCCTTCACCTTCTCCCTCTCTCCCTCTTGCCCCCTTCCCTCCGCCCTGCCTTTCCCAACTGCCTTCCTCCTCGCTCTCTCCCTGTTCCATTGTTTGTATTGTTCCTGTTTTAGGGGCTGCGCCAAATGCGCGTGGCAAAGAAGGCTGATATCCTCCCCACGGGGGTACTATCCGTAATGGCGGGTTGCTGCTATGCTTTCTCCTTCTAAAACTTTCCCTGCCGTTCGCCCCCCCAGAGGGGGGGAGGGCAAGAAAGCCCAGAATCGAATCGACAAGTCGGATCGGCGATCGAAATAAATCGGATCGGCGGACATGGGCAGCCGGATCGGGAGGAGGAGGAGGAGGAGGAGGAGGAGGAGGAGGAGGAGAAGGCGGAGGAGGAGAAGGCGGAGTAGGAGGAGGAAGAGGAAGTAGAGGAGGAGGAGGAGGAGGAGGAGGAGGAAGAGGAGGAGGAGGAGGAGGAGGAGGAGGAGGAAGAGGAGGGTCTCTCCCACGCCGCTCCTCGGCGATCGCCGCGGCCTTGCTCGCGGCGGTCACCGCGGCCCTGCTCGCGGCCTGGGGGGGGGGGGCGGGCGGGCCAGGGGGGCCACGACGCTCTTGCGCGGGGAGGGCGAGGTGCACGGGTTCCCCCGGGGCCGTAGGCGACCCGAGGAGGAGGAGGAGGAGGAGGAGGAGGAGGAGGAGGAGGAGGAAGAGGAGGAGGAGGAGGAGGGAGGAGGGGAGGAGGAGGAGGAGAGGAGGAGGGGAAGGAGGAGGACGAGGAGGAGGAGGAGGAGAAGGAGGAGGGAGGAGGAGGAGGAGGAAGAGGTGGAGGAGGGTCTCTCCCACGCCGCTCCTCGGCGATCGACTCCCGACCGCCTGGAAGGGAAGGAGGAGGAGAGGAGCAGAAGGAAGAGAGCAGGAGGAGGAGGATGAGGAGGAGGAGACGGATGATGATGATGATGATGATGATGATGATGATGATGATGATGATGATGAGGATGAGGAGGAGGAGGAGGAGGAGGAGGAGGAGGAGGAGGAGGAGGGAGGAGGGAGGAGGGGAGGGAGGAGGAGGAGGAGGAGGAGGAGGAGGAGGAGGAGGAGAGGAGGAGGAGAAGAGGAGGAGGAGGAGGAGGAGGAGGAGGAGGAGGGAGGAGGGAGGAGGAGGAGGAGGACGAGAAGAAGGAGGACGAGGAGGAGAAGGAGGGAGGAGGAGGAGGAGGAGGAGGAGGAGGAGGAGGAGGTGGAAGGGAAGGATGAGGGAGGAGGAGGACGGGTCGCCTAGCCCTTCGGAGAAACCCTCCAGGGCGAGGCGGAGCGAGCAGCACGCCTGGGCCCAACGGGCAGGGGACGCACACGGCCAAGGACATGGACAAAACGAAGCCCGCCCGGGGGCAAGAGATACGGTGAGGACGTTGTATACGTGGACGCACAGAGACATACTAATACTATATGTCCGCCTTGGAGGCGCGCGTCCGACCCGAACATATAGTACATCCATCTCGTAGTATATCGTTTCTCGAGCGGTGTGGCCAGAAATCGCCCGCCCATCGCCCCTGGGGGGGCGACGAACACATAGTATAAGTATGTTGGGGGAACGCCGATAGAAGGAACCAGTGGACAAGGTATCCAGGATCTCGAAGCCAGTGGAACCTCGATCGTGGATTGGCCATGGATATCACAGCCGCCCTTACTAGATAAGGAGCCCCCAGGGTATGGAGCCTCCTGGGCACATTCCTTGACGAATGCCCTCAACGTATCCGCTGCTCCTCAGGGGAACCAGTCGTCAAGGCCGGCCGAGCAAGCGTCACCAAGAGAGGCGAAGCACACGCAGTGTCACCGCTGGGTGGGAGTACCATGTGGGACCTGCTCTAGAACAGGAGCGCACCGTAGACGGATCTACCCTTTCTCCGACCTTGCACCGCGCGGACCGCAACGGCCACATTGTCCATAGACGCATCCACCCCGAAAATGTCTTTGGACGCGCCCACTGTGTCCATAGGCGCTTTTGGCTAGGACGAGAGAACGGTATTCGGCATCGGCCCCGGATGTTGGTCTTCTAGAAGCATGTAGGCTTGGCCCTCGAACCGCTGGGGCAATTGCCATTGAACTCCTGGATGTCCCCCAGGCGTCGCATGAATGGCTGACTTCTCGAGGCCGCCTCCGCGACAAAATGCAGCTGCGCGAGTAGTGCGGGTGCTTCGAAGAAGGGGCCCAGGGACACACAAATGAATACACACAGATCCCAGGATCGCCATACTTTCTAAACATTTTCGGTTTTCGTCTTCCCCCCCCACTTCCCAAAATATCCTGGGAATTGACGATTGCTTGTGTCTGTGTGTTTTCCCCCGCGGCGAACTGGTTTCCGACACCATTTTCATCTTTCATCCTTGAACGACCGCGGCTGGCTGATTGCGCGGGATCGTTTGATGTTGGCCGGCTCCCTTCCACCGTTGGCGTTCGCTCTTGTGAACGCCCGCGTCGGGGTCGCCGCCGCGTCGACGCGACACGAGGCTGCTGCATGCTCTCCTTCGCTCAGCCCCCGACGCTGGTGGATGCGGAACGGCACCTCACCGCCCCCGTCAAGCCTCATACTTAGGTCGGGCATGTCCTCCTACCGGCGGATTTGGGGTGGAAAATTAAGAATAGCCAAACAATGCTCAAGAATAGGCAGAAATCCGCCGACCCCTTGGGGATCATCGGCGTGTGAGATGCTTCCCCCTCCCCAAACCCCTCCCCCAGGAGCCCGGTCCGGTCGATTTGGAGGGGGGGGGGGGGTCCGGAACGAGCGCAGCACGGCCGGGACGAGCGGTTCACGGGGCTTTTCCGGGCCCAAGAGGGCCTCAAGACGGGCCAAGAAGCCCCCAAGAGGCCTCCAAGACGGCCCACGAAGGCCCCGAGACGCCAAACGACCGCTCCAAGACGCCCAAGATGGCCCCAAGACGGGCCAAGAGGTCTCCAAGACGGCCCCCGAGGTCCCAAACAAGCCTCCCAAGAGGGCCCCAAGAGTCTAAAATTGTTGATTTTCCATAGTGTTTTTCGATGTTTTTTGCTTTTCCGCCTTTTCGGCTTCCCGACGCTCCAAGACGGCCAAAGAGGCCCCAAAGACAGCCCCAAGATGGCCCAAGAGGCCCCCAAGACGGCCTCCAGACGGCCCAAGACGGCCCCAACACGGCCCAAGAGGTCCCCAAGACGGCCCAAGAGGGCTCCAAGACGGCACCAAGAGGGGCCCAAGAGGGCGACCAAACATGTTGAAACTCTAGCTTTCTGCCCCCAGGAGCCCCAGGGGGCCCCAAGAGTGCCCCAAGAGGCCCCCAGAGGCCCTCACGAGGCCGCCCAGACGCCCCAAGGAACCCCCAAGAAGCACCCCAGAGGCTCCGAAACGGCCCCCAAGTGGCTCCAAAACTCGCGGTGTCGCCGTCCGCTCGGACCCCCCCGCGGAACTGCCCGAGACCCTCTGGCGGTGGCGGCGAACAGACACCAAACAAATATCACTCGCCTTTTCACCCCTTCGCAGCTTCTACTACCCCCAGATTGGCATAAACAAGGGGTCGGCGGTGTGGCGTAAGCCTAAGAATCATCGAGAAAGCGTCCCCAGACTATTTTTCCACTATTTCCGAAAATTCCCCCCGTAGAGGGACATGCCCGACCTACCTTTATACACAAATCGAAATCGCAAAAAAAACCAGGCTGGATCCGGAGCGGATCCCGGATCCCGCCCAGGACGGCACCGAATCGGACGATCGCCCGGATCGCCCAGGATTTCGCCGGCAACTCGCGGAAGCCTCCCACACCATCTTGTCGGCTCTTGCGGATCGATGCTAGTCGACGCTAATCGACGCGAAATCGACGCGAACTGACACCACATCGGCGCTAAATCGGCGCTATCCCATCGACTCCCAGACGCGCTAATCGACGCTAAAGACGGAATTAGGAGGGTATGCCAGGCTCTACCGCATGGGATCGCCGATCGGGCTCGGCCCTGCAGGCCGGACAAGAATCCAGACAAGGAAGCAGTGGCATAAGCGTAACTCTTCGGAGCTGCCAGCAGCTCTCTTGGATCGGACACGGGCTCCTGCAACGGGTGCCCCTTTTCAGCAGAAGGTCGCCCCACCCCGCACAGCCGTACTCTTGCGAGCCGCCGAGCGCTCAGGGTCACTCGACGAGGTGCAGAAAGCGCCTGGGTCTGCGCCGAGCGGGCCCTTGCCCCTCCTCGGCGAGGGCTCTGGCATGCTCGTAGAGCTCGAAATCGAGCGCGTTCAGCCTGCGAAGCACTTCTTCTCGCCCTCTAGTCAGGTTGAGCTTCGCGAATGGGGCCGTGTTGACCTTTAGGGATGCGCTAACATTGGTCCACCTCAGCCTGTCAAACAACTGGCAGTTGGCATCGATGACATCATCTTCGTCGGCTGCACCTACGGCGTAGAACTTGTTCAACCGCTCGACTGCCATTTCGAGGTGGGTGCGATTTACACCTCCAGGTGGTAACGTCCACGCCTCCGCCACAAGCACGCGAATCTTAAAGTTGTCGAGAGCCTTCCACGAGCTCCACCCGTAGTTATTGAGTAGGCGTCCTTGCTTCCGATGCTGGATCATAGATAAAAGGAGGTCAAGCCAATCGTCGCCTTTAGAATCTGGGTCCAAGCCAAGCGCCCTCTTCAGGCTTGAAAGGCTCCACCACGCATCTTTATGATCATCGCGTGCAATCTCGTAATTCAAGTTTGAATCCATTTCTTTGAGCGGGTGCCGCATCAAAACGGCATAATGGAAATGAGTCCATCGGTAGTCTTCAGCCCACAAAGGCCGTTCGATCATTCCAAAAGTGAACCCACCCGATGTCATATGCTTCACGCGAAGCTCAGCGATTGTGTTGGCTACCGTGTGGCCTTCAATCGAACGAGCGTGTGTATCATGTGGTATCCAATTGCAGTTTTCGGCGGGTGCAACCACCGACTCACCATTCGAAAAAGCAGCCTGCTGGCATGCCCAACTTCCGAACCCCTTGTGAATGTGAACGAGGATGACGGGCAAGCTACGCGGGCGATCGTCGAGCTTCAAGGCAGCAGCCTGAACAAGATGCAAGAGGCAAATCGCAGCTATGAGCATAGCCTGTTTATATAGAAGAAGAAGGGACTTTAGGAGGTCAGCACAAACTTCTTGGATCGGTGCTAGAACCCCTCCCGCTGGCGCACGCTATGGGCGGCGCTGGAGGCGCCGACGAACGAACCCAACGCCGATCCAAGAAACTCGCTCGGACATCCGGCAACGTAGGTTTATTCGATGTATTATTGGCTAGATTCCTTGAGTGATCCGGTACTACGCAAGCAAACGATGTGCAAACGCCGACCGACACGACAACGCCTGAAGCAGAAACAGCTACGGAAGACGCCTCTCGCGCGAATCCCTCGGTACTTTCTGCCTGGTGGTGTCCCCCTGAACGCTGGCGGCTTCCAGAGAACGGCCTAGGCGGAGGAATGGCCTTCCGAGAAGGCCCCCGCGCTCATCGAAGGGTGGGGGGCGCGTGGGAATTGGGGGGCCAGGGCCCCTTCTGTGACGCCCAGCTGCCTTCTAAGGAAACAATCTCCTGGCCCCTGGCCCCTCTTGCGCGCCGCCAGGGGGCCGTTCGCTTTGTGTGAATGTGTTACTCATGTTCTGGCGTTTGTTGCTGTATGTTTGCATGTATGTATGTATGTACATACCTCCATACCTACCTACTACATGCATACATAGTAGATAAACAGATACGTACAGGAGGTTGTGGTAGGTTGGTAGGTCTGCATACGCATTATTGCAAGCCTACGTCGCACATGATTTGTGTAAAAGACATATGCACATTATATGCGCGTGTGTGTACAAGTATATAATATAGTGTATGTATTACTCATGGCATCCCCCCTGTACATGTAAGTATACCTGGTTGCGTGCGTCGTGAATGCGCAAACATGCATGTGCATGTATGCCGCTGTTTCTCCCGCCCTCTCGCCCTCTCGCTCTCCTCCAATCTCGATCGCGTGTTACGTCTGTTTATATATGTTTATGACAATATGCACAAATGTGTATAGATATGGACATATAACCATGTGTGCACCTAGACACATATGTATATACACAAGACTGCGTGGGGGCTTCGCGCCGTGCACATCGGTCCTTCAGAGTTGCTCTGCAAGCGGAACTGCAGGAGGGTCAAGCCGACAATTTAGCGATCACTTCTTGTTGCCGGTTCTGCATTCTCCCCATATCCTGCGTATCCTCCCAACCCTCCTCAACTTTTTGTTGCAAGAGGCCTCCTCGGCGTCTTCTGGGGGCCTCTGGGGGCTTCCTCGGGCCACCCTACACCCAACCGCGGTCTCCCTGAACGGCCAGGTCACGATTTGGAATGTTTCGGAGGGTGTCGTGGGGCCATCTTGGATACATGTGTATGGAAATGTATGTATGTCTCTCTACAACGTCTCTCCCCCGCCCTAGGCATACATGTGTATATGCATATATACATTACGCTTCGGCTGAAAATGGCGCTGTGCTGGCACAGGAAGGAGACGAGGAAGAAGAACGCGAGCAAAAACAGGAAAAAGGATATTCACCAACATGGGGGGGAAACTGATAGTAGGACAGGCAGAAGGATAGACCGGAAAAAGACAAGACGGGCAAAATAAGACTGATGATGAGGGAAAGGACGCGACAGCGACGACGGACAACAGGGTGACGAAAAAAACGAAACACAAACCGAGAAAAGGAGGGGAGGATGACGTGGAGGACGGGGACAAGGAGAAAGAAAAACGTGAGGAGACAAAGTTGAAGAGCACGAGGTGGAAACAGTCGACTCGCGCCTCGTCGACTGGGTGAAGCCTGCCCAATAGAAAGGCTCGCGGTGCGGATGGCGCGCTGGCTCATTGCGCGGAGATCGGGAAGGGGGCGAACCAGGAGCATGGGCGCCGCCACCCCCATCGAGTAGGATCCGCACCTGACGCGCAGAACAGCAGCAGCGCTCTCAGAGACCCAGAATCTGTGACCTCGGGCCGCCTCGGGCCGACGATCCCTGCACCCGAGAGAGACACGACTGGGGCAGTGGCTTCAGACAAGGACTCGCCATCGCTCGGACGTCCATTTCCCTTGCATTTTTCGGTTTCGCGCGTGTGTTTCTCTATCGATGGTCCAGGATGGTCCTGCGATGCACACGTCCGAGCGATGCCAAGAGGCAGGGCGGCTCCTCTGCGCCGCCCGCCGCCTCCTGCTTCCACCCGGAAGCAAGAGAGCGAGGCAGACCCCCGCAGGAAACACGACATCCCAGGGGGGTTGCCATCGCTCGGACGTCCATTCCCTGTGTTTTTTTTCAGCTTCGTGCCAGGTTTTTTTCGCCAAATGATCAAGGATGCTCCTCGATGGTCCTCGCCGAGAAAAAATGTACACGTCCGAGCGATGCCAAAGGCACGTCACCGCCCGACTCGGGCTGATGTGGCCTGCACGGCACGAGCTGACGCAGCAGCATGAATGCCATGCGCACGGGCGTGAAGAACTGCACTCTGGGCCTGGCTGCCCTTTCCAATGGCGCCTCTGCGGGGCGCGCTCGGGCCAGGTCCGGCGCGGGCCTCGGTTTCGCAGCGCGGGCCTCGGGGCGCGCTTCGGCCCCGGTCCGCTCGATCCTCTCCCCCCTCCGAAACTCCCAAGGCCAGAGGGGCCCAGGGCGGCGCCTCTGGGCCCGGGAAGGAGGGCGACGCCGCCCCGTGAGCCTCGGTGCCAGACGAGGCCGACGGGGGATTGAAACCTCCTGGGGAAGAGCGCTCGGGGAACCCGCGCGCCCAACACGACCGGAGAGACGCGACACACTGGCCCATGCTGCGGCGATCCTTGGCTTTGTCGCTCGCACCCCAGTCCTGCAAAAAGAACAGCGCCAGAACCTGGTGTTCCCAGGGGCCTGGACAGAGCGACGCAACTCCTCGGGCAGCAAATCCGATGGCTTACTAGGCGCCCTGCGCGTCAGCTTGCGAGGGCGTCGAAAGGTCTCGACGCGCCCGACGGACCAGTGACGCAAGTGCACCGTAACGAAATTCAAGACCAAACGGGCGAACTTGAGGGCCGCGCGCATGGCCATAAACAGGGCCTTTAGTAGCTGAGTGCGAATCCCTACATCTGGCGGCGGCTAGGCCCGCCCATCTGTCGGACCTGGCTTCGCTGGAGTCTGCAGATTGGCGACACTGAGCGCGCGGGACACGAAGGGCCGGCGGGTCCCTTCCAAGGCCTCCGCGATCTTCGGTTTTTCGCCAGATGGCCCGTGTAAACATGAACAAACAAAATGCACACTTCTGAAGCCTGCAGAGACGCAGGAAGCCCATCCCGCGGGGAACGCTTGATCGGTCCTGGAAAGCTCCCTTCACCCAGACAACAATGGCACGACGAACTCCCATTCTGCTCTATCGGCTTGCGGCCAACACCGTGCCTTTCGACATGCCCCATCTGTGTGGACGCTTCCGCGCGCCATCTCAGGCGTGCCATATGCACAACATCAACGCCAACTGTTGTCGGCCTCGGCATCGAAAGGGAGCTGGACTTTGGCGCCGCGCCACGGCCCCAGAAACAAAATCCGCGAAAGCGCACGGGAAAGCCGCGCACACCCACGCTGTCCATGGCAAGATCACGTCGGTCACCATGTCCCTCATATGCGAGGCGAGGCAAAGTGCTCGCAAGTGCACGCGGGGCAACATGGCGCGAGCGCACGCCCGCGTTTACATAAGTTACACCCCCAGAAAGCAATAGCACGTCGCGTCATCGGGTTCCTCGTGGACCGTCGCAGCAGTCCGATGATAGGTTCGAACCAGTACCCGAGAGGCTCAGCCGCCCTCGGGGCCAACGCCTTCATCTGCAGGGTTAGGTCCGGCAGCCCAGGCTTCCCACGCGCGCCTGACCGCTGCCAGCTGGGCGAGGCCTCGCAACGCACACGGGGCGTCCACGAGACGGTCGAGCCCGTCGCCCTGGTCAGCGACGAGGATAAGCGCGGACGTAAGCCGCGCACCTAGTGCGCGCATGGGGGAACATGGCGGCGCTGGCGGCTCCTGCAACCGTCGTCCAAGGTCTCTCCTCTCTGATTGCTCGACATACCTGTCTCTGCCAGGCAAGCCGCGCGACGTCGCGAGCCTTGGGCCCGATGATACACTGGCTGCGCCCATCGTGCAATCAGCAAATATTCAAAGATGGGCCCTCGAAAATGCGGCACAATCCACGAAGATGGCGGCCCCCCAGGGCACCGCGCCCCGCTCGCGATGCGCCTCGTCCGCTCGCCCAGCGCGAGGGGGGGCCCGTCGACCCCAGCTCCATAATTCATGGCTGACTGGGGCGCATGCTTGAAAAAACGAAAGACCAGCGCCGCGCGCCCCCGCCTCGCGGACAATGCGCCCTCCGACCAGCGTTGGCAATCACGGTCCGAGTCTTGCTGAACTCAAGGCTCAGCGAGTCGCCCCGGGCATGCTTCGACGCCGAGAACTTCGAGCGCAGGCGCATGATGACAACCGAGATGGCCGATGCGTTTGGCAGCCTGCTTCCCGACGTGCGCGCTGCTACTGGTGGTCGGCATTTTTTTGCCTCGCGGGTGGCGACCCCGTCTCGTGCAACACCGCGACGAGACTAGAGAAACAACGAGCAAGCGGCATTGGCAACAGCGCCCGCAGCGCCCGCGAAGACAATTGCGATATCTTGAGCGCATGCGTCAATAGTCCTGCATGCACGCTGCGCCGAACTTAATTGCGAGCCGAACGAAGGCGACAGAACGCACCGCAGGCAGAACCCTGCTGGCGGGCATCCCCGCATAACCCCACAGGGTGCCCACGCGGGCGCAGAGAGGAATGGCGCCCCGACGCGCCCTCCTGTAGACCTCGTGATCGCGCTGGGCAAGCGCCAGAAGACGAGAAGGACATCGATGACAGACGCCCGCCTGCACGAGCACAGGTCAAGCAGGCGCCCCGCGACGGCGGGCGCCCCGTTAGAAACAAACAACCAATGCCGAGGACGACGCCTGTCCGCGCCGACAGCCGTCCCCTGAGGAAATTGTTCAGCAGCAGGTCGGAGCTCGCGGGTGGTCGACGGGGGGTGGCCGGGGCCCCTGGCGATGGGCCTCTTCAGGCCCCCCGCGAGGTCATCGAGCCCCTCGTCGCCCTGAATCAAATTCCTCGATGGGTGCGCGGGGGGCCCGCCGAGGCCACCCCGAACGGAGCCCCGGCAGTTCTCTGCGACTGCGCAATGCCGCCAGGAGAACTCGAAGCCCCACATCTGAGAATTAGAACTCCGTTTTCCACTACATCTGCCAGCCCTTGGGCTTGATCCACCGGTGCACGGCTCCTGGTCTGCTCAGCAACGGCTATCGCAACCGCTGTTTGAAGGACATTGCGCGCGCGACGCCCAGCCGACGCTCTTCGGCTTCGACAATCCGACCGAGGAGACCCCT